AGATGTGTATAAGAGACAAGTACATCCTCTACACCAACGACCTTCGTACCCTGACTGAGAACTGCATGGCAATCAAATACGCTGATGACACCGTCCTTGTCAGTTTAAACAATGGCCCCAATCCCTTAATAATTATTTAAATGATGTGACCTATTTTTCAAATTGGTGTAAGAACCATTTCCTTAAAATCAATCTAAAGAAAACATGTGAACTTATCATTGATTTTAGGAAGAAAAATAGGTTGAACCTCTGAATATTGATGGTGAACAGATTAAAGTTGTTCCCGAGTACAAATATTTAGGTACTGTGATTGATGAAAAATATGAATGGTCCAGTAATACACTTAGACTGTACAGAAAAGGCCAGCAACGACTTCATATGTTACGGCAACTTAGGAAATTTAATGTTGATAAAGATAAATTCTAGAAATATTCTACCAATCAATGATTCTCAGTGTGATTTCTTTCTGTCGGATTATATGGGAAGCTAGCTTATATGAAAAAGATAAGGGATTGTTTGCGAAGATCACTAAAAGCGCGGGGCGTGCAATGGAGTAGATTATTCTAAGCTCAATTTTAAGTATAATGCAGGTGTTCTCTCCATGGTAAGACGCATACTTTCTCAAAATGATCATCCACTCTACAACGAGTACAATTTTCTCCCATCCCATATCCGTATTCACTCTTTACCTAGTCGTAGTAAACGCTATAACAAATCGTTTGTTCCACATTCTATTGTAATTTACAACAAATATGTTGAAAGATAATTTTTGCTACCCCTGGAGAGAACACCTTGACCATATCATATCAATATCAATCTAATTAATAATTGTAAATTTTATTGTAGAAGTATTTATTTGAATTTTATATATTGAATTGTTTTTGCCGTTTAACATAATTTTAATTGTAATTGAATTGTGTTTCTTAACCTTTATATGTAATTGTATATTGAATTTCGTACTTTTTATTGCAGTGTATAAATGAAGAATTTCTGATGTATTTATTTTAAATATATTAGACCAATAAAGATAAAGATTTTTTTTATTTTTTTTTATTTCGGCAATTTTTACGAATTCTATAAGTGAAACCATTATCATTAAATATTGTCATGCCTATTTTAATTCTATCCCAGCTCACGACTGGTCTAAACGCATTTCAAAGTGCAGTTACATCACTTTGATTGTTCTCATTGTGTTTTCGAATTCATCAAAATTTAAGTGTATAGCGACCTGTGGTACAGTAACCCTAAGATTTTAAGTTATACATCGCCACGAATTAACGAATCTCTCGAGCAATCACTGCTGAGGAAGAACATGTCACATGGCTATTGAAATCGTTTTGCCGTGCGGCCCAGGATGATTTGATAACTATTTCATAATACGTAATGTTTTAGTAATGAATGATTTTAAACTAATATAATAGACCTAGGGCCTAGACCTTAGTTTAGCCTCAACATAAAAATGTAATTTACTAATGTAAGTGAGGTTTGTTGGCGCCACCGGCTTCACATTCACCGTAGATACATTCGTTATACCATGGACCTATACTGCTGTTTTAGTCAAATGCAAGCCAACAGAGTATCGGAACTCGTGTATGGACTTACAAGAAGAAGTCAAATGCAAGCCAATCAGAAAGCAACGTTACTAGTGATTGGTTACTGTCGGAGAGGATTAGTTGACTGCTAAAATAAACCCGACCATTGTCAAAGCGTTTCATTCTTACCAATTGATCCATTGAACGGAATGAGTACATCGGCGTTATATCTAGCACTAGTCTAGCACGGTCAACGACAATCTCAACAATATTGATTTCCTTAATTTGTACTCTAGGGTTGAGTACACTGTAGCTAGCCCCCGGTGTAGCTTGTGGTACGTACTTTTTATTTATCATTATGTTTAAATTAACTATATAAATAGACAATATATTAAAGATATACTACTTTACACTATAAGGTGGGTTGTAGGCCTACTTTTGGAATAAAATATTATCCTGCATGAGAGTTATATGTTAAGGATTAGATAATATAATGTTCAAGTGCATAGGGGCAATGTGCAATATGCGCTATATATAACATTATTATAGCGAACGCTTTTTGAGGATTTTAAAGTGATTGTTTAAATATACGATACCAAATACTATAATTTTATTATTAAATTGTCACACACTACCAACAAACCCCTCTACAAAGTCCAAAGCAAGTCGGCGTACTATAATAAAGGATTAATGATGTATGTACAGATAAACAGAAATATGGTAGAACTATGAATGATCAAGTGGTGGACTATGGGAAAGCATTACTATAGTTAATGGATTGCTAATGATAATTGAAAGGCTTAACTTAAGGCTATGATTAAAACCATGTAAAACAGGAAGCGGCGATTAAAATAATATAATTAAAAATATACTATATATAAGCATAAAATTAACAAATATATGTGGGCCTATAAAAAATATAAATATAGGCCTATATATTGGGACATAACATATT